GGAAGCCCCAAAATGGCCGTGCGCAGCGTTTTCACGCCCTCGGTAAGCGAGGGGAGGTCGTGAAAATGGCTGCAGGCCATAGGAAAACATCGCTGAACTGCGAGTTTTCGGCCCATTTGGAACGGATTAAATGATGTTTAATGCGTTCCAATGGGTTTTCTTGATCCGTTCAGCGATGTTTTCACATAGCGAGGGTTAATCCGGAACGGATTATGGATATGCACCACTGTACATATCCCGGCGCCTGCTGTTGTTGCTCCTTCACTTGTGCCGAGGCGAGCTCTGCCAGAGGTTCCCTTTGCTTTCCCACCTTGTTTTGCTGCGGTGGCGTCTGCCACCTCTTCTCCCTCTCCCTCTTTCTCTGGCAGGTGCCTGGCACGGAGCCCTGCTCTTGCTCTGGCTCCCCTTCCCTGCAGCTTCACTTCTTCTCCGCCAGCCATCCTCAATCTTTTCTAGCCGCCGCCATCTCTCCTTTCTCGATTCTTGCTGCTCGCTCTAATACCTCTGGGCAAACAAACTTTTTTTCTCCCTTATGAAAAAAACACCCTGCCCTTGTCCAGCCACGGCTCTCTCTCGATTTTCTCCCGTTTCCTCTCACTCGCTTGCTCAAAACGAAGCACGAAGTCACCTCCAGAAGCAAAGGCTCCACATGGGCATGGCTGATTTACAGTGGGAAGATAACAGCGTTTTGTGTCTAAGTTGCACTGGCCATATGACCATGGAAGATTGTCTCCGGACAAACGCTGGCGTTATGGCTTGGAAACGGGGATGAGCACTGCCCCCTAGAATTGAACATGACTGGACAAAAATTGTCAAGGGGAACTTTTACCTTATATATATTCTCCTTTTATATATACTGTACAGTGGTGCCTCGCAAGAGGCCTTTTTTAAATCAGTGAAAAGTTAATTGCTATGGAACAAGACATTGCCATTAATTTATATCCTGCCTTTACTACAATGTAATAAATTTACATTCCACCTTTCCTCCAGCAAGCCCAAGGCAGTTTACATGGCTCTGCTCCTCTTTACTTTATCTCCACAAAAATTATGTCAGCTAAATCAGGCTGAGAGATTTAGACTCAGGTTTTCTGAGTCCTAACCCAACACTGTTAAGCACAGTACAGTGGTGCCTCGCTTTATGATTGCCCCGCATTACAAGGAATCTGCTATATGACGATCTTTTTGTGATCGCAATTGCGATCGCAAAACAATGGTCTAAATGGGGGAATTTTGCTTTGCGATAATTGGTTCCCTGCTTCGGGAACCGATTCTTTGCAAAACGACGATTTTTAAACAGCTGATCGGTAGTTTCAAAATGGCTGCAGGGTAACTAAAATGGCTTCCTGCTGTGTTTAGGGACGGATTCCTCGCTATACAGGCAGTGAAAATGGCTGCCGTATGGAGGATCTTCACTGGACAGTGAGTTTTAAGCCCATTGGAATGCATTGTAAGGTTTTCAATGTGTTTCAACAGGCTTTTTATTTTCGCTTTACGATGTTTTTGCTTAACGGTGATTTTCCTGGAATGGATTATCGCCGTTAAGTGAGGCATCACTGTACCATGCTAGTTATCTAGGGCATCTGTATTTGGCCATTAGAAACTACAGAGGATCTGCCTGTGGGAGGAAATCTATGCTGAGGACAACAGGTATATTAGACCACTAGCTTGGTGCTGAGGTTGTGGAACAACTAAGTATTAAATAACCAGTTACTGCAGAGGAACAGGCAAGGGATTTTGGCCTTTGCTATTTCTGTCCTTTTCCATATGTCTGCAACTTCCAGTTCTGCTAATTTCACAGCTACAAATGAAGTGTCACACTCTAGCACCTTCAGCAACAACTACTCATGGCAAGTTGGAGCAGCAAATTTTGAACTTGTGTTTCTCAAGAAGAAATGATTTGATTGAACAATCAGGTGGCACAGTGGTTAAAACTACAGTACTGCAGCCAAAACTCTGCTCACAACCCAGGTTCAATTCCAAGTAGCCAGCTCAGGTTCATGCAGCCTTCCATCCTTCCAATGCTGATAGATGGAGTACCTAGCTTGTGGGAAGGGGCAATATGTAGCTTGCATAATTAAACTGTAAACCATTTGAGAGCGCTTTAAGCCCTATGGGGTGGTATATAAGCAGCACACTTTGTTTTTGCTTTACAAGCCCTACTGTTGTTTTTTTACACTTCCTATCTGATTCAACAAAGGCAAGTTTCCAAACTGATCACTCTCAACTAACTTGTAGAGCTAACAGGAAGTTTGGCAGATTGATAGGATCTGTGAGGATATTTTAAACTGCAGCAGCCTGCCTGCACACCAATCTTCACAACAGGGCAAAACATGAAGACAGGCCTATTTTCCTGACAGTACTGCTATGTCCAAAGGTCAGTGGGCTGCTCCCAAATGGAAAACAAGAGCCAGAAACACAGGACGTTGCACAGTACAGAATAACTACCCTGAAGACAGCTGTACAGTATTAGAGAAGCATAAATGCTTGCTACATAGGTACCTACAGTACATATTGGTGAAAGGCAGAGGGTTTAGGCCTGCTTCAACATTGCTTCAATACAGCTTAAACATCATGTGAAACACATTTTGAAATGTATATGAATCCTCTAATTGCTATCCTGAAAGCTTTGCACTAAGGTCTCTGGAAAGCAGAGGGGTATATTTGCATGTAAGATATGGCCACCTGCCTATAATATAAACACTGTATCCCCACAAGGAGAACCATGTTGACGTGTGTACTCTGTGTATCTGTGCTAGTGGTAGTGCAAGACTATCCATGAGGGTCCATCTTGAGTTTCACTACCCTCCTTACTGTCACTTATTCCTTAGGACAGGATGGATGAAAGACAGGCTTGCAGGGTTGACTTTACTTTTCTATCATTATGTGCTGTCACTTCCCACTTATTCCTGTGACACTACAATCCAGTTTGATACTAACATTTCTTCCACAATAAACATTAACCACTTGTTACTCAAGATCTTGAGTTCAGCAGTGTAATTCAGGGCAAAACCCAATTTTGTATAAAAGTTCAATGCAATATTTACTGAAATAGCTCCAGGAATCATTCAGCTCAGGTTACTATGAACACTTCATTATACAGTATTCAACACCATTTACAAGGATACCTTTCAATGCATTTTGTCAGTCACAGCTCAGGAGAAGTGGTAATGAGAACTCAAGACACTAAAGGTATAAACTGCCAGAATCTTCCTAGTGAGTTTTAGGTGACATACTTGTTGCAACCAGTACTTTTGGAAGCATCATCTACTGATGCAAGCTGAGCTAACCAAAGCTTCTATCTAGACATTAAAACAGGATAATACAGTGTGTTGTAATAATTCTGAGAACTACCTCAGCTCGGGGAATTGAACTTAGGCTAGGGGAAGATACAGTCTGTATTTTAATATTTTAGGAACTGAAATACTAAAAGACATTCTGTGCCACTGGCAACACCTGAAATTCCAGTGACAGTGATGGATCTAGAAGCATCCCCAAACTATTTGCATGGTACTTCTGGGATAGGAAACCTCCTTTTAGAACTGAACAGACGAACCATCAAACACAGCAGCTGCCTCTTGTTTAAGACTCCTGTCCTATTGATCTCATCCTGGGTCGTGGACATGAGAGTTTCTCACCAAAGTCCAGCATCCATCCATCACAGCCTGGGCGTGGGGGGGGGGGACTATACCCTAAAATGAACTCCAGTAATTTTTTTCTTTCTTTCTTTTCTTTCTTTCTTTTTTTTTTTTTTGCGAACGAACTCAACGGACCTCACAGTCCTTCCACGCAAAAGCCATGCCTGGTTACCCCAAGCTGCATAATTTCTGGGGTGAGGCATCTGAACAAGCCCATATCATACACGAATTTATCACGAAAACACCTGACAGACACACAAACAAACAAAAAATGCTGCTGCGAAAAATGATCACGGTATCCACGCGTGTAGGTCAGGCCACCCTTTTGGCGTGCAGCAAACGCTTTCCCACTGCGGTCACTGCCCGCGGCGCTCCACCCGCTATCGCGCCCCTCCCCCTCCCAACAAAGATTCCCCAGACCTGGCACCGCCTCCCTCACGCCTCCTAGCGGCTCTCGAGGCGCGGGAGGGAAATGACGTCAGCGCCACACGGAAGCCGGAAGCGTCATCGGGTCCCGCCGGCTGAGGGGACGCTCGGGGAAGCGTGCGGTGCTCGTCGGCTCGC